CCCACTATACCATTCAATATCTATCACAGAACAACTGCATAATTCAGAATAATTAGGCTCCAGAACTGTGCAACTTGCTGTATATGAGGACACAGTCTTTGACTTACAGCAAACCGCAAGGAATCCAATAAAATTCAGCTATCTGTAACAAAGATGAAAATGACACAGGTCCTGCCCGCCAGAAGCTAACAGCCTACCAGGGGGTAGAAAGCAGGGGTGAGTGGAGAGGCACACAGACAAGTTAGAGTGAGATAGAGGCAAAGGAGAGGTCCAAATTCTCTGGGAAATTTTGATGAGGGCTAAACCAAGGGGCACCGTGGTACAGTAGGAACAGTTCTGAACTGGGAAGATTTCAACTTGCTGGACCTGAGTTGGAATATCAGCTCTGCCATTTACGACCTGCGTGACCTGAGGGAAGCTCACTGACTTTCTTGGCCCTTCGTTTCCTCGTCTGTTAAAGGAAGAATGGGGCTAGGTGACTTCTGAACTCACTTCCAGCTCTTGATCTATGCTCTGCCCTTCTTTGTCATTTTGGGGCTGCAGGGACAGACTGAAACCCCTTGTAGTTTCAAATCCTAGCCAGTGAGGATGCCTAAATCCCTAGGGCTGGTGCTCTCCCTGTTCATCTAGGTAGCTATGAAAAAAAAATAATAAAAGGGGGCAGCTAGGTGGCACAGTGGATAGAGCACGGGCCCTGGAGTCAAGGGGACCTGAGTTCAAATCCAGCCTCAGACACACAACACTTTCTAGCTGTGTGACCCTGGGCAAGTCACTTAACCCCATTGCCTACTCCAAAACAAAACAAAACAAAACATCTAGGTAGCTAGGACTAAAAAAGCCCCAACTTCGCCCTCACCATCAAGTTTCTGGACACCTTCTGAATCAACCAGAAGTAAGCCACGGGGAAATGACTTGCTTCCCTGGAAGCTGGGCCACTTCAAATCAGATCCCTAGCATCTCATGACCCAGATCTTGGGCTCAGACGAGGCAGCAGAGCAAGGGGCCTCGGCAAAGGGCTTTTCAATGACTGTACTAATTTGAGAAAAAATGTGCTGAGGTGCTAATCTCTAAGGATTTAAAACTCCATAAAGAAATGCTCTCGGGAGGCAGCTGCATAAGCTGTCTTCGTTAGGGACAATCAGAGTCCCAGTCTGCTTTCCCCAAAATGATTCGCATCAATTCAAATATTTTCTGAGCACATGGAGACATGTGGACAAACACACACACGTACATTAGTGCCTTCCCCTTTCAGAGTATTGCCCATCTACTCTGTACATATCTTGTTATTGGGATATTGTCTCCCTCAGTAGAATGTGAGCCCCTGAGGATAGGCGATGGTTTTGTCTTTTTTTCTATCCCCAGAATATATCACAAAGCTTGACACATAGTAAAGTTTAATAAATTCTTGTCATGACCTCACATACACTACAGATACATATGTGTGTGTGTGTGTGTGTGTGTGTGTGCCTCATACAAATATCCAGTAATCTGATTTCTAGGGAAAAAAAATCACATCCCTGTATCACCCTGCATACACTGTGATCTGTGGCCTTTTCACAGACTATGGCTGAAGAGGCTTTGAAATCAGCCATTGAAAAGGCCAATGGATTTCGAGTCAAAGGACCCCCGTTAGAATCCCATCCCTGCCATTCTTCACCTGTGTGACCTTGTACTCAGGGCTCTGCACCTCCATTTCCCTCTTTGGAAAATAAGAAGCAAGAGGCAAGACTAGGTAATGTTTATGGTCCCTTCACGTTCCAAAAATGATGATCCTAAGGATTCCAGGAACTTTCAGCTAAAGAGGCAAAAGACTCCTGGCCGATGTATGGACAATAAAAGTATTAAAAGTTATTCATGTAGAAAAGGGGAAGGGGGAGGCAATAACCATTTAACAAGCACCTAGTATCTGTCAGGCACTGTGCTAAGCACTTTACAAATACGATCTCATTTCATCCTCACAACTCTGCGAGGTAGGTGCTATTATTATCCTCCATGTTTTATGGTTGAGGAAATGGAGGCAAACAGGGGTTAAGTGACTTGCTCAAGGTCACACAGCTAGTAAGTATCTGAGGCCAGATCTGAACTCAGGTCTTAAGGTCCAGTGTTCTAGACTGCCACATCTAGGAGAAATCGTAATTACTATGGTTGTTTGAGAGGAAGCACAAGTGTCCTCATCTCCATAATGAAATGGCTAGATAGTTTCTTTGTGCCCTTGGAAATCCTTTAATGTAATGAATGGGTAGAGCATTGGCCTTGGAGTCAGAAAGACTGAGGCCTTCCTTAGAGCTCACTAGCCATGTGACCCTAGGAAAGTCACTTGATGTCTCTGGGCTTCAGGTTCCTCAATTAGAAAACCAGGATCATAATGGCTGTAACATTGACCTCCTGGGATGGTTAAAAGAAATAATGAATATATGATATTGTACAACTGCAAATCACTCCAAGTGGCAGCCATTTTTATGATCTAAGGCCAAAGACACCCTCTAGCTTACCTCTTCCAGGTCTTCCATGCTCAGAGAGCATTCAGCATTAAAACAAAACCAAAAGAGGCACAGTTTTAGGCACCATGTTGAAATTTCCCCTAGAAATACAATTTTTCTTTCCTTTTTTAGAAGTTCCCTGGAAGTTGGAGGAACCTATTTGGAGCTGTACAGATGGGGCAAGTCGGGAGTGAATATGTTTCTAAGAAATCGAGCAACACAAAACCTAACCTCCTAAGGGAGATGAGCACCCAGGGCTTGGGAGTTATCTTTTGTTTTAGAAGCTAGTAGGATAAGGACATACTAGATTACCCTAGAACCCTGACCATGCCATGTAAATAGATGAATAGATGGATAGATGGGTAGATGGATGGATGGATGGAAGGATGGATGGATGGATGGATGGATGGATGGATGGATGGATGGATGGATGGATGGATGGATGAGAAAGCAGTCACTAAGGACTTACAATGCATTGAGCACAGTGCTAAGCGCTGGGGATACCAGGACAAAAACAAAGATCGTCCTATCCCTCAATGAACTTATATTCTATTAGAAAAAACAATGCATTCAGAGGAGTGGAGCTCATTGCTAGCATTTATAGATACCTTTAAGTTTTGCAAATTGCTTTTTTCATGTGGTATTTTGGTTCTGAAAGTTACAGACAGGGAAGGAGGAGACTCAGAGGAGTAAGTCAGTCTACTCCTTCCAGGAATAGTGGTAGAGTGGAATTTTTCATGCTTCATAATGATTCCCGAACTGGGTGGGAGGGAGAAGGTTGGAAAGGGGAGGGGATGTGGGCTCTGGTATGGGCAGTCAGGCAGTTGGACATGGAGGAGATGGCTAGAAGGGAAGCCAGAAGTGAAGTATGACTGGGATTTTCTTGAAATGGTGTCCCAGGAAAGAAATTCCAATCAAGTGAGCAGGGCACTTGGGTAGATGTTTATCTAGGCTATGGTTGCTGGCATAGGTGTGGAGGCAGTTGGAAAGAAGACAGAGGACGAGGTGCCTAAAGAGAGGACCAGTCCACTTTCGGACAGCTCTAAATGCTTCTATTTACTTTTTTTTGGAGATAATCTATTGGTATTATAATGTAATAAAATTATACAAATTATTCCCTTTGGTAAGATAAAGCAGAATCAGGAAGAAAAAGTCTTCACCCAGCCCATGTATCTTGAAGGAATTCTGTACAGGTGACAGGTTAACTCTTTGCCAAGCCATTGGCCTAAATAAAATACACAAATTGATAAGCAAATTGTCTTTCCAAGGGGTTGCTGCCTAATCAGAGTCCCAGCTCTGGGGTGGGAAATGACCTCAGTGGCCACCTAGTTCATCAATCTCCTCTCTAACACACTCAACAAGTGGTCATCCAGCCTTCACTTGTGCAGACCTCCAAGGAGGGAGACTCACCACCTCTCAAGGTCACCTGCTCCACTCTCGTGTTTATGAAGTGGGGCCATTTTTACCTCCACAGCATCACCTGCATCCATCCCTTTCTCTCTCCTCTTATAGCCTTCCCATTTCAGATTCTCATCCCCTCTTACTTCATCTATTACAAAAGCTTCCTACTTTATCTCCCAGCTTCTGGTCCCCCTCCTTTTCACTCCATTTTCCACACAGTTGACAAATGGACATCCTTCACATATGAGCGTAACTAGTCATTCCTCTGCTCGGAGGCCCTCAGTGCCCTCTTGCCCCTAGGATAGCCTGCAAAATCCTCAGTCTGGCTTTCAAGGCCCTGCACGATCTGGCTCCCATCTGTCACTCTAGCCTTCTTTTGTATTGATCGGCTTTGTGCTTTTTACATCCCAGGCAAAGTAGAAATGCTATCTCCTACTTCCATGCATTCAATTCTGCAGAATACACTGAACTTCCTTCAAGACCCATTTCTGGTAACCTCTGGTAGATCCCCCACGTTGTAGGGGTTCTATCCCTCCTCAATGTTCCTTGTCCTAGACTTATTTGTGGGTATGCTTTGTTCCTTTGGTAGATTGTAAGTTCCTGAATGCAGGGATCATTTCCTTTCTGTCTGGGGAAATGCTTTTTTTTTTGTACTGAATGGAATTGAATTGCAAAATACCATGTAAGTGATGTACTCAGCTGAGAGGGAGAGAGGGAGGAAGGAAGGAAGGAAGGAAGGAAGGAAGGAAGGAAGGAAGGAAGGAAGGAAGGAAACAAGCATTTCTTAAGTACCTACTATGTGTCTGACACTATGCTAAGCACTTTAAAATATTATTTCATTTGATCCTCATAAATTTTGGAGGTAGATGCTATTATTATCCTCATTTTATAGTTGAGGAAACTGAGGCAGGCTGAGCTTCATGGCTTGCCCAGGATCACACAGCAAATAAGTGTCTGAGGCAGAATTTTAACTTGAGTCTTCCTGGCTCCAGGCGTAGCACTCTACCTGCTGGACCAGTGGACAGTGGAGATGGGATTTACAATTTCATATTTTGACCCCTCTGGTTTATATGCTAATAACAATGGGATAATAAAAGGGACCACTCAGGAAAAGCCACCTAAATTGAAATAATAGATGTTTTATTGTCACTTAAAATGCATTTCCTAGACAGTGGGAAAAACAAGAACAGAGCAAAATTAACAGACATACGTGGCAAAAAGACACCCTGACAATCCCCTCACGTCCAATATGTCCATATCATATGAGATAAACAAGCTTGTCACTGATGTTCATTATAGAAATGAGCATCTTGAACATCTCGAAAAAAAACCCAATGCTTTAAACACAAAACCCACTGGTGAGTTTTTGTTTCTTTCTTAATAACTGTCCTTACCAGCCGACACCTCACGGCAACCAAGGAGCAAGGCACGGAAATTCCCGGAGACCATGGGAAGGGAGTTCAAAAGTTCTATCCAGAGCCATCACTGCCCTGTAGGGGGACCTCAAAGCAGGTGCCCGGATCTCCCCATCCCTCAGTTTCCCCATCTACAAAAGTGTCGGCTACTTTTTCCCTGGGACATTGTGAGGCAATTCATGATTGTAAAGTGCTTTAGATGCCTCGGAAGGAAGACAACAGAGAAATATAAAATAAAATTTCATATCATATACTTCCAAAAAAATTAGGAGAGAATTTTGGCACTAGGGAAAAGGTAATACCTGTTTAGAAGCCACCTGTGGCTCTTTGAAACTTCCTCAATGCCTCAGTAGCTGTTTTCTCGTTTTTGAACATCAAGAGAATTCCTCTTTCCCCATGAGAAGCACCTTAGAGCAATGTGGACTTGTTAAATGCCCCCTTCTTTCTAAGATGGGTTTCCTAGGCCTAGCTAGGCCAAAGCACCAACTTCTCATTCCCCCTCCCCACCTAACCAATGCCCTCACCCCAACACCCATGACTCCCCTCAAATCTGAAGAAAAACATTGTAAACAGTTATCCTGGAAGAATGACATATCTATAGCAGCAATTGCTTCACCTGGCAGATGTGCAAATGTGCAACTGGGCTGTGTTCAAACTTAACGGAAGTCTCCCATTTGCACTAATGGAATGATCAAAATCAGGGTTTCCAATCTGGAAACATAGACATAGAAAAGCCCCTCTCCCACCTGGCCCCTCCCTTGGCAAAACATCTGGTGAGTGGGTGCTACCTAATGAGAGTGGGTTACATTTTGTTTAGCGAACAGTGGAGACCAGGTCCCAGGGACAGCAGCATGATGGGAGCTCACTCGCCCCCCTGCAAACTCCTTGAGGCCAGGGAATTGTGCTGTGTGTGTGTGTGTGTGTGTGTGTGTGTGTGTGTGTTCAGTGAGACACTGAATGAAATCAAGATGCTTAAGAAACAAACAAAAAAAAAGAAAAAGACAATATCACGGTATCCCAACAGGGACTGTCATCTGGCTCAGCTGCCATTTTGAATGCCCCTTTCCAGAAAAATTTTCATTCCCTGGTGAATTTGGGTTGCTTCTCTTGATCAGTTTTTAAAACAAAACTTCAAATGGTTAATCAGTTAGCATCACCAAGAGAAGAGGGGATCCAGAAGACCCCAGTGGCATCTGTGCGCATCTCATTAGACTGGTTGCTTCACAGTTTGAAACGCAGAAGACTTCCCTTCTGGGTATCTCATTATGGGGCTGGCAAAGAGGGTGGGGAAATGTCACTCCTTGAGGCAGAGAGGCATCTCCTCATGCCATCTAAGTTTGCTACTATTTCAAGACCTTGAGGGTGACAGTGTAGCAAAAGAGACCCCACTTAATGAGCAGCGAGAAAATACAGCCAAACGAGGTTCGGGGAGAGGGATGGTGATGGCTGCTAAGAGCCAACCACCAGGGAATTGGTCTACTAGAAAAAGGGTCTTGACTGCTTGAGCCACTTGCAAAACCTCTTGAGGACTTTGCTAGAGAGAGAGAGCACGAAATGACAATAAGAGGCATCCCCGTGTTCCCCTACGCTTGAGATGCAGCTCGGTACACATAAGGCTTTGGGGCTGGCTTGGTGCTGTCTTTGTGACACATGTTCCCCCAAGGTATGGCAGCAAGCAGCAGAATCAACCCGCCGAGCAGAACACAAAATCCACTAAAGTAGAACGCGATGTCGTAGCTCTGTGTCCAGTCGTAAAACCAACCTGCCAAAAAGAACCACGGATGGATGGATCATTTTCCCTCAGATTCCCCAAAGCGAATCCGTTCTGTGCCCCCGTCAGCACCCTCTCCTATTGGGAATTATTTTGTATATGCTTTGTAGATGGTGTGCTGGTTAAAGAGCCGAGGGAGTAGCCAGGCAAGACCTGAGATCAAATCCCACCTCAGACTTTCGTTAGCTGCATGACCCTGGACAAGACTCTTAATCTCTCTCAAGCAACTCCCCAGGGCTTATTTAGTTAGTCATACACTAGTCATGAGCTGAATTGATTGAGTAAGCCCCACACCTAGAGTGTTCTACACAGGTGAAATCATAGCTCTTCCACCCAAGTATAATGTACTTACCTGTCTATGGATTATATTCCTCATAGTAGACAGAAGTTCCTTTGACTTACAGATGGCAAAGAGGATAGAGCACCAGCCTGGGGTCAGCCTGAGATAAAATTTGACCTCAGACACTTACTAGTTGAGTGACCCTGAGCAAGTCATTTAACCTCTGTTTGCCTTAGTTTCCTCATCTGTAAAATGTGAATAATAATAGCATCTACCTCCCAGAGTGGTTGTGAGGATTCAATATAGTAATATTTGTAAAGCACTTAACATAGTGCCTGGCACATAGTAGGTGCTATATAAATGGTGGTTATTATTATTTTTTCTCCTTGTGACCCCAACTCAATAGGGAGTTCCAGTGAGGAAACTCCCTTAGCCAGTATAGCTCAGCATTTGATCAGCAACTTAGATCTGAGTGAGTTGCCCAGAGCACTGAGGGTAAGTAGCTCTCTCTCAGAGTCACACAGCCAGTAGATCTCAGAGTCAAGTCTTCCAGATTCTAAGCCACAGGCTTCCTCCACTAAACCATGGTGCTTTCCACCACAGGTATTATTGTTGATACTTTACAGATGGGGAAACTGAGGCTGGGAGCTATGAAGTTTAACGACTTGTCTGCTGGTCTTGTATCCACTGTGCCAAGCTGTCACATGGTTAAGTACTCAAGAAATGCTTGTTAAAATGAATTGAGAGGCAATAAGGATTCGAAATCAGATTCAGACTGGGTATTCAACTAAGTGGATTTGGGAGGGCAGGATGGTGTAGGAAAAAGAGCAGTGACTTTGGAGTTAGAAGACCTTAATTAGAATCCCAAGTCGGCTACTCACTAACCTAGAAATAACATGGTAGAATAGAACGGGTGCTTCCCTGGGAGTCAGGAGGGCCTGGGCTCAAATCACACACCACTGATCATAACTACAGGGCCCTGGACAAATCACTGGGACTTCAGTGTGCTAATCTGTAAAATGAGAATAATGATGATAATGGTGGTGGCGATGATGATAATGGTGGTGGCGATGATGATAATGATGGTGATGATGGTGATGATAGTCATGGCACCAACCACCTAGGCTTGTTGTGAAGGGCAAATGAGATAACGGGTGTAGAGCTCTTGGCAAAACCTAAATCATTTGCTCGGTGTTTGTTGCTCTATATTTAATGTCAGCCCTATAAAGATCATCCTCTATCTCCTACATGAAGTCCTTCTTGATCCCTCAAGCCCCACTGTTCTTGTCCTCCTTTCCCCAAACAATGTTGTACTTATTTTTTATTTATTCTAAGTGATATATACATGTTGCCTAGCCTGATAGAATGGAAGCCCGTTGAGGGCAGGGAAAGTTCCATTTTGTCCTTGTACCCCTAGTGTGTAGCAGGATGCCTGGCGCATAGTAGGCAGTTAATAAATGCTTGCCAATTGACTATTGATTAGCTACCACTATTAACTGTGGGACCTTGGTCAAGTGACTTAAATTCCTGGCCTCAGTTTCCTCATAAGTAAAATGAGGTGGTTGGACCAGATTATCTCTAAGCTTCTTTGCAATTCTAAATTCTAGCATTAATTAATCAGTCAGTTAACAAGCATTTATTAAGAGACGACTATGGGCAGGCACTGTGCTGGGTGCTAGACGTACAAAAACAATGAATGAAATAATCCCCTCTCCCAAATCACTTACATTTGACTGGAGGAGAGAGCATGTACACATATATAAGAATATACAGAATAAATACAAAATAAATTAAATACCATATTGTTAGGAAGGCAGGGAGGGTTTGGGGTAGAGGGTAGTGCTTGAGCTGTGTCCTGAAGGAAGAGAGGAATTCTATGAGGTGGGGAGGAGGAGGCAGATCATTCCAGGGATGAGAGACATCCAATGCAAACTGATTTTCTTGAGTGCAGATTTGAGCTGTTACTCCCCTACTCAATAAACCCCAGTGGCTCCCTGTTGCCTCTAGGATCAAATATCAATTGCTCTTTTTAGCTTAAAGACCTTCAAGCTCTATCTTTCCAGCCTCATTATATATTACTCCCTTTATGGCTGTCTACAATCCATCCAAACTGACCTTTTCTCCCTACTGTGTGTCCTAGACACAACACTGCAACTCCTTTCCTCTGGGCCTGTGGAAGCAGATTTTATAACTCTCTTGAAAAGACAGGTTTTCCCTCAAGTGCTAGGGAAGGAGGTAATGGCACATCGGCTCCATAGATGACTTCTTTACCCAACAGGGAATGTAGAACCTTAGGTACGATGGATGCTGCGTCTTCTTAATTCTGTAATCTAAACTAGTAGGAAGGTGTACAGGTGGAAGGAGATAGAGTCAGGATACTTGGGTTCAAATACCAGTTCTGACACCATCTGGCCCTTAGCAAACCATTTAACCTCTTGGAGCCTCAACCTACTCATTCATAAAAATGAGAATATTGGTGTTTTTACTACTGGCACCACTGGGTGGTTTGAGGAAGGTGGCATGTACATCTGAAAGCTAAACTGTCATTAGCAAGTCTTGTGCCTGGTGCAGCACTAACTCCACCCGAAGCAAGTGGCCCAAAATGAGCCTCAGATCAACTCTTAGAGTTAAGATACATACACAGAGCTAAAGGGTGAGATATAGAAAGGGAAGCCAGGTTAAGAGAGAGCTCCCCTGGGGTGCCGTGGTTCAGAGACTATAGGTCATCTAGTAGTAACTCTTTGAGTTAATTCTTCTGTTTCATTGCTGCTGAAGGACTGCAAGTGTTCTCAACATGCTCAAAATTTGCTGCCCTAGGAAAAAGTTCTTATCATCCCACCCTAGTTACAACTCTGCTTAAAACACTCAATAAACGTGACCTGTCACTTCCATTTCAACTTGATCTAGTGCATACAAATGTCTACAATTATGGTCAAGATGGGCCAGATTCCTTCAGTAGGATGGAAGTTCTCTGAAGGTAAGAATTATCTCTTTTTTGTGTGTTTGTATCTTCAGTGCCTGGTACAGTACCACCCCACCTCCAATCACTTTTATGTATACTAGTATATGTACATGTTGCCTCCCAAGATAGAATGTAAGCTCCATGAGGGCAGTATCTGTATCTGACTTTGGTTTCTGGATCAACAGTTGGGGCTTAATAAATTATTGTTGGTTGTTCGATTGATAAGCAACAAAAGAAGACATATTTTGCTGATTTTCATTGTGATCAAAACCCCCCAAATCTTACCGACAATGGGTGGTCCCAGGCTATTTCCAGCTCCTGCAAAGAACATTAAAATCCCATAGGCATGGGTCAATTTCTCAATGCCCACAGTCTTGGTAGTCACATATGGGAAGATGGACCAGTTGCCAGAGAAAAACCCGATTATCCCAGAAAGTATTGCCAATGAGACATAGCTTTTGGCAAAGGGAATAGCACATAAGGCCAGGCTGATCAATACCAAGGTGGCTGAATAGAGATAGACAGTGTTGATGAACTTGACATCCGCCAGTGCTCCCAAGAGAATCTTTCCAACAGCTGTCATAATGCCTATGATTGAGACAAGGGGCACGATAAATTCTTCCTCCCTCACATTTGCACTTCTGGCAACATCTTCCATCAGCAGCAAAGGTGGAAAGCCCCCAATGTCATAAAGTAAGATGGCGATGAAAAGTGCAGAAAAGACTTTATTCTTGAATAAGATGACCGTCTCTGACCAATAGCTCTGACACAGCTGCCATTTTCTCTTGGCCAGCTGTTTACAAAAATACTTCTGTTCCACGGCTTTCTTTTTGTAAACATCGGTTTCTTTTGTCTGCACTGTGGCTGACTCTTTCTCATGTAATGGACTCTCCTGTTTGGAAGCACGAATGGTCAAAGGTCTCACAAATTTTTCTTCACTGTAGCCTTTTTCAAGAATGCTAACGTTCTCTTCCAGGGTCTTTTCTTTCTCATTGTATATGGAGTATTGGGCAGAAACACTTTCAACAGGCGCTTTTTCTGGTGGAGGGCTGGTAGAGGACCCCAGGGGTCTCATCAAAATGCCACAGGGTAATATATTTAGTGCCACAGCACCCACAATGAGCAGACATCCATCCAACCCATACAGTTCAAGCAATTCTCTCTGAAGTGCAGCATATATAAAAAGTCCAACGCTGGACCCTGGAAAGGAAAAGAGAACCGCTCAGTCTTTATCATACTGCCTCACATTAAGAGAGAACCTCATGGTTAAGCTCAGGCTTCTCATGCCATGTTTTCATAGCAAGCTTGGCTGCCATTTTTATGGGAAATTATAAATGCCTTGATATTTTTTAAAATGTAGAGAAGTGTGTATTCATTCACTTATTCATTCAATATGCATTTATCAAACACTTACTATGTGCCAGGCTGGGGATTAAAGGCAAAAAAAGAAACAGTTCCTGCCTTCAAGGAGCATCCATTCTATTATATAAAAACTCTATTGAGCAAGTAGATAAGTAAATAAGATTCAAATTGGTTTCTCTGCTTCCAATCTCTCCCCTCACCAAGATGTCCTCTACAGCTGCTATGATGAAGCTGTATCTCATTCTGGTCCCCTGATCCCTCCCCCTCCCCACCCCGTTAGTTTAGTAAGTACATAAGAAGCCAGTATAAGCTAACAATAATAGGAAGTAAGAATGTAAAGAAGAGTACAGAAGTCATTTGCAAAACCATCTTGTTAATTGACTGAGACCACATCCTGAGACTATGTTCGAAATTAGGGGAAGCCAGCTAGGCCCCATTAATTGTCCTCAATCTGCAGAGAAGCACCAGAGATGTCACAGTAAAACAAGCAGAACGTTACATAAATTAGGGATCCCTAAGGTGGCCTTTGATAACTCTGAGATGAAATTGATATGTCAATGTCAATGTCTAAGGGGTGGATAGAGTTAAAACAGCCCCCCAAACTCTACAAAAATGGGACCCCCAAACCCCGCCCCTCCTGCCTTCCTCTACCTGTTTTGCTTCCATGCTACCCATGAGCTCCCAACTCTGATTCAGTTACCAAGTGACTCTCCCCAGTCTCCTCCTGGCCACCCCTGGCTGCCTCTGTACTCACTGTGCCTCATTAAATGCATTACTCCCTGCTTGCTTCCAATGTAGTCTTTCCTGGAGACCATCCAAAGAGCCTTGCATGTTCACCTTGACCCAAAAGGGACCCCTTGGTAGTCCCCTTCCTTTAGCTCCCAGGACTGAGACCTTGAAATGAATGAGCTGGATTCTGTGACTCCACTGGGAGAAAACAAGGGCAGGCAAAGGAACCTTGTACCCCTCCTAGGAGGGACCCCCCCCCTCATTGTTGGGCCATAACAGAATAGCCACTAGTTCTATGATACTCCAAATGAGCAGGTGCTTCCAATCCACAAACACACAGTATGACCCAGAGTATCATAGAATATCAGAAATTAAAGAGAGCTCAGAGATCCCATAGGAGATCTCCCCCTTTTGTAGAGGAGGGAACTGAGACCCTGAGAAGGAAGTCATTTGCAAACCATTTGGTGGTAGTGCTGGGACTCCAAGCCAGGCTTATGATGCCCAAGTCCAATTAGGTCAAACTGGCCTGATCCATTTTAGGTCTTGCTCGAATGGGAAAATCAGTGTTTTAAAAACTCAGATTGCACTGAAACATGCTCCCATGAAACAACAGGGAGGAAATAAGCTACTCTTACAGAAATACGCTTTTTTTTTGACAAAAATGATCATCCATTAAAATGGTTTACTCCAAGAGGAAAGAGATAGACAAAATATGAAGTGATAGAAGAATTTGCTGCCATCTGGAGAACATTCTTCACCCAGGATTCCCCATCAACATCCATCTGTCAGGACCAGATGCCCAGGAACAGGCCAAGTGGCTGGTGGGCATGTGATGTTCTGCATAAAGACGTGTGACTTTGGAATCACAGGTTCCCCTTCCTAAATTGTTTGTGGTTACCCTCAGGGCCTTCCCCAAAAGAAAACTACAAGTTAAAAAAGAAATGGGAAATCAGTAGGATGTAAGCTTTTTGAGGGCAGGGACTACTTGGTTTTTGTCTTTCTATCCATGGCACTTAGTACAGTGCCCGGCACATAGTACGTGTTCAGGAAATAGATGTTGAATGATTATGAACTCCTCGAGGGCAGGGACTGTCTTTTACCTCTTTCTGGATCCCCATCACTTAGTATAGTGTCTGGCATATTGTAGTTGCTTAGTAAATTTTTACTTATTATTGATTGACTGAATAAATGAATGAATGATCTGTTTCCTGAGGTTGTCAACAACGTTTGCGTTTTTAAAGAGTCTAAATAATATGTTCAGAGAATCGCAGAGCTCAGTGACCAACTAGTTTAAGGCTTGTCTGACCAAGAATCGTACCTGACAAGGTTGGGGGGAGGGCAGAATCCAGCCATCATATGAAGACCTCCAAAGATTAGGGAATTCCCTCATAGCTTTCAAGGAAGCCCAATAGAACATTTTATTCCTTACTACAATCCTGACTTTCTACTCATTGTTCTTAGTTCTTCCCTTTGTGGCCAAGCAAATGAATCCAATGCCTCTGCCACATATGACAATACTTGCAGTCAGCCATCATGCCTCCTTAAGTCTTCACTTCTCCAGCCTAAAAACTCCCAGTTTCTTCAACTGATTCTCCTATGGCATGGAATCAAGACTCCCTACTTTTCTGGTTGCCCTTTTTGGCTCACTCTCCCTCCAGTTTATCAATGCCATCTCTATAAAATGGCATCCAGAACTGAACACTCCTAACATGCTTTGACTTGGGCATAATTGAGACATGATCATATCTTTGTAAGGAAACACATCCTTTGAAAGTTTCCAAACAACACATGGAAACGTTCCAAAAGCCCACCCAACCTTCGGGACTTTTCAAAGCCCATTAGCAGTTTTTCCATTTGGAGCACATGACTATTCTCCTGTAAAGCTCTGAGTTCGGTACCTTGAACCATTAGGCACCTCACAGGGCTGTGGAGCTTGGTGTTTCTGCTTCATGTGGAGAAAAAAAAAATCATCATTCCCAGCATTTACCAGATGTGTGTATCTGCCAAATTAAACACAATCTGCACAAAGTCGCAAGGCTGGGGAGATGAAAGAAATAAAAACTATATTTATTGAGCACTTCTACCCTCTATAGATAGGATCCAAAAGATATAGGTGTGAAAAGGGAGATGGGCTTGCCAGTTGGCATGCAGGAGTGGTGTCAGATTGGCAACCCACGTGCTATGTGGGCATCTCTACAATGTCCATAGTTCTAGAACAGGGGCTCTTAACCTGGGTTCCATGAACTTGTTTTTTAAACAATATTTTGATGACTGTATTTCAATTTAATTGGTTGACTTTGTAAGCCTATCAATTTTAATTTTTGCATTAAAATATTATTCTGAAAAGGAATCCATAGGCATCAGCAGATGGCCAGTACATGAAAAAAAGGAAGACTTCTCAAGCTATAGAAATATCCAGCCACCCCCAGCATATTGGATGGACTCTCTATGGGGAATTTATGAGAAGTCATGGGTAGTTGTACCACTGGAGAAGAAGGAGTGGATAGGATTCTTCTTGCACTGTGGGAAGGAGATTAATTCATATAAGATTAATTCATTCATTCGGTTCATTTCAAAAGCACTAATCCTGAGCCTGAAAAGCCAGGCCCTTTGCTAGGTGCTGGGAATACAAAAACAAAGATGAATACAGCCCTGCCTTCAAGGAGCATACATTCTCCTGGGAATGACAGTTCCATTAAGTAACGTACCCACCACCACTAACAACAATAGCAGTTAGCGTTTATATAAAGTTTGAAAAGCAATGCATGATAAGGCATTTTGACATAAGGTGCTTTTGCTGAGTATTGTGGAAGGAAATGTCTATTTTTGGATTCCGGTGCCTTCAAAGTCTTACATCCTAAGAGAAATAATAACAACAGCTAACACTTATATAGCATGTGATACACATTATCTCATTTGAGGTAGGTGCGATTATTGTTCCCATTTTACAGATGAAAAGACTGGGGCACTAAGAGGTGATATGGCTTGCCCAGGGTCACACAGTTGCTAAGTGCCAGGGGCTGGAATTGCACCCAGCTTTTACTGGCTCTAAAACCATCCCTCCATCTTTTCTCCATGCTGCCTCTTTTCTATTTCAAGCTTCCATTAAATCTGCTACAAGACTTTCAAGACCTTCTAAGCAGAGCAGTGAAATGTGGTTCTGTTGCCATGCTAGTAAAATCGCTGTGCCAAAGAGCCAGAAAAATCTCAGCTCAGGTCCTAGCTTGGCCACTAGTTTTGTGATAATGGAGGAGTGGCTTCTCCTCTCTGATTCTGATGAATTTCTCCATCTGTAAAATGGAGATAATAACATTTGCATGACCTCCCTCATGGGGTTGTTGTGAATAAAGCATTTTATAAAGCTCAAAGTACTATATTCATGCCGGTTGTTTTTATTGCTAACAATACTTAGAGCAGAAAGAGCCTTAGAGTCAGGAGACCTAAGTTCAAATCCCTCCTCAGGTATTTCCTATCTGGGTTGCCCTGGGAAAGCCATTTAACCTCCTTAAGCCTCAGTTTCCATATCTGCCAAATGGGGATGACAATATTTACATTATCTCTTTGATAAAGTTGTGAAGAAAGAACTTTGTAGACTATAAAGTACTGTAGACACCAGAGCTATTACTTTTATTCTGTGGAGAATATTTGATAATTTTTTCTAATTCTGAAGCAAATAAGACCCATTAATGACGTGTAGATCTCAGTACAACTTTTTGAAATTGTGACATCAGCTTCTTAAGAATAAAGTAACTCACAGTAGAACTTTATCTCCCTCAAGAGAAAGTGTCCACAAACAATCTCATCAAGAAATAAAATTTAATAGACATTCTTTTCTAAATTACTCACATGAAATTGGGAAAGGGGAAAAGAATATAAAGTTGGCTTCCTTAGTGAGCACATCTTTACACTAGATCACAGCCAAAATCCCAAGAAACAATCTCACCATATTAAGATCATAGACTCAGTACCTCTACACTGACCCATCTACCATTTTGGTTTTGGTTAGAAGCTCAAGGCTTCTATTCACATTGCAATCTTATAGGTCACCAAAGGACAGTGAAGAGATGCGCTGTGAATGTAATCAAGCTATGGGATGTTAACAAGAAGAGTATAAATGCAAGGAGTACCAGGAAAAGCTTCATCCAGGATACATATGGCAGGAGAAAAGGTAAGCCAGTCCTACAGCAAGAGGCAATGAGGACAGGTGGACAGTTAGAGGGGTAAGAAGACCCTCAGTGCATTAGGGTCTCTGAGGATTACTAAAGAAACGACTTACACAAGAAGGTAGGTGTGGCTATGTTGCAATCTGCAGCCATGGAGGAAATATGAATAAATGAATGAACAAATGAATGAATGAATGAATAAACAAATGAATGAATGAACAAATGAATGAATGAATGAATGAACAAACACTGATTAAAGCCTCTGAGGAGCCAAGCCCTTGGAGTAGAAACAAAACAAAAAAAAAATGAGACAGTCTCTGCTCTCCAGGAGTTTACCTCCTAATTAGGAGAAGACAAAACATATACCAGCATTTAATGAGATGCTGTATTCAACCTGAGTGTTAGCTTAGGAGACATTGCACCACCCCCATTTACCAGGGTGAGTGAAAGTTTCTCTTGGGTAAAGAATAGAGAATATCAAGTACCTGTATTTCTACCCCTGGGGAAAGACTACTTGAATAAATTTCACTCTGGGTCCTATTTTCTGGACAAGTTTTGAAGGCTGCAAATCTCCTATAGAGTTAGAAAACTTACCTGTTGAAATCAGGCCAAGCGCAAGACCTCGGCGTTTATCAAAATACTGGCATGTAATGGTCACTGCTGCAGTGTATAATAAACCACATCCGAAGCCTAAAACAGATAAACAAAGAAATCACACATGCGAAAAAGACCATAGGACTTCTATGTGGAGTATAATCCAATGGGCCATGATCGATTAGTAACTTGACCAAACTTTTAACAAAGTTTTCTAGATCGTAGATTTCTTCACATCTGCCTTGGATCCCATTAGCAGAGGGTTTAATTTTTTAATAGTATTTTTCCCCAATTACATGTTAAGATAATTTTTGGCATTTTTTTTAAGTTTTGAGTTCCAAATTCTCTCTCTTCATCTGTCCCTCCCCTGTCCCATCCCTGAGACAGTAAGCATTCTGATATAGGTTACATATGCACAATCATGGAAAACATTTCCATATTAGTCCTTTGCACAAGAAGACACAAATTTAAGAAAAGGAATAAAAGGAAAGAAAGAAAGAAAGAAAGAAAGAAAGAAAGAAAGAAAGAAAGAAAGAAAGAAAGAAAGAAAGAAAGAAAGAAAGAAAGAAAGAAAGAAGGAAAGAAAGAAAGAAAGAAAGAAAAAGAAAAAAAGAAAGAGAAAGAGAGAGAGAAAGAAAGAATACTTCAGTCTGTATCCAGACAATATTGGTTCTTTCTCTGGAGGCGGACAGCATGCTTCATCATGAGTCCTTTGGGATTGGCTTGGATCATGTATTGCTGACAATAGCTAAGTCATTCATAGTTCTTCATTGTACAATATTGCTGTTTCTGTGTACAACGTTCTCCTGGTTAGCAGAGGATTCAATCTCAATGGTCACATCTAAGTTTCCTCTTCACCAAGTCTTTCAGGCAATCTCTCTGCATCTTCATATCCACTGTATTCCTCTCCATGAACTTTATGATCCAACCACACTGGTGGGCTGCCTAGCTGTTCCTCCCACATGACCCTCCATCTATCATCTCCTTCTTTGCACTGGCTGACCCCAACACCTGTGATGTTTTTCCTTGCCACCTCCACCTTTTAGCAGACTAGCTTCCTTTAAGCTGAGGCCTTTCCCACTCCTCCCACCAGCTGCTAATGCTTTCCCCTCTGAGATTACCTTCCGATGACTGTATATAGCTTATATATTTCTAGGTAATATTTGTCTCCAGCATTAGAATATAAAACCCTTGAGGGTCTTTTCTGCCTTTTTCTGCCCACTGCTGAGCACTGTGTTGACACAAAATAATACATATATATGTATAGACTGATTGAGCAACGCAATCTTGCTTTCTCTGATAAAAAAGAGAGAACCCTAGTTGCTTCTTCCTTGAACAACCAACTGACCCATTTACCTATTTTCTTGACCTTCTCCAGGCTGAAAGAGCTGAATTTTTCCTGTGTTTGCCTATCTTCACACCATGAGCTGGTGTGTGACCTAGACACTTTGTTTTGGCAAGGACACTGACCAATTGAAAAGTAATCCAGGGAGAGCAATCAGACTGTTGAAGGGCCTCATGCTCATGCCTGTGAGGGTCACATGCCAGGTGTGGATCAGACAAAGGAACTGGGGATATTTAGTCTGGAGGACAGCAGACTCAGGGAGGATATGGGAGTATTGTTCAGCTCTCTGACTGGCTCTCACTCAAGGGAAGAAGAATTAGACCAGTTCTGTTTCCCAATGGGAGAAGAAGAGTAAAAAGGGAAGGAGTTTCAAAGAGACACATTTAGAATTAATGTAAGGAAAAGCTTCCTAGCAATTAGAGCTAGCCCAAAGTAGACTTTGGGAGGTCACCGAACATCTTTATGTAGAGGTAAGTGATAACTTGTCAGCTATGTTGAGTTGGGGGGTAAAGGGGAAGCCTCTTTAAATATGGATTGGACTAAAAGGCCTCCCAGGACCCTTGTCATTCTATTCAATGTCAAAAAAAATGGACTCTTGTAGGGATGGCTACACCCACATTTAGCCTAGGAATGGTCACATCTCCCTTGAACTGCTAGTGGCTCATTTCCTTATTCTTTATTCCTCATCTCTGCCAGGGTTTTAGTAGAGGGCAGTTAAGCATTCCAACAAAATCCAACTGTGATATGTCATCCTGGTGTGGGGGTGACTTGGATTAAAAGCTGTGCACACTCTGACAGGTCTTACTAATCTGGAAAAACTTCAGTGACAGATCCAGAAACAAACTATGTGTCTAACAACCCCGGACCAGCTGGGTTAAGAACAGAGGCACCCAACCCATGGGTAAGCCACCAGGTGGTGATTATTTTGGGCCACAGCAACTCATAAAATCCTCTGCAAAAGAGTGTGGCTCCCCAAGATCTGCATCAGCCCCCTCCCCAGTGAAATCCAGCCCTTTGGAAGTAAGCTTTGTCCATCAACCTTGGCTGTCTGGCTTAAACCCAAATCTGCCCTGGTCAAGACTTGAGATTTCCTATAGCTTCATTTTAGTCTGACAAGGTTTCAGACTTGATCTCTACTTTTGAAGCCTGCCTTTGGCTTTTCCTGCTAAAATGTGAGCCAAAAGAGAGAGAGAGAGGAAAGAAAGAAGGAAGAAAGGAAGGAAGGAAGGAAGGAAGGAAGGAAGGAAGGAAGGAAGGAAGGAAGGAAGGAAGGAAGGAAGGAAGGAAGGAAGGAAGGAAGACATTACTTCAGTAAATTATAATGTGGTCAATCCTTCATCTTTCTTTAAATACATCTCTGTCTAACTGGTCTTCTGCAGCCATCCTCTTCCTTGTTGAATCCATTCTCCACAGAGGTGCCAAATCCATAGTCCTAAAGCATAGGTCTGAACGTGTCACCCCCTACCCCCACCCAAGGAATGGAAGTGACTCTTGATTGCCTCTGGGTCCTCATGTGATCCCTAAAGCCTTTCCCATTCTGACTCCAGGCTTTCCCGTCTTCACTGACCATAGCTCTGTGGACCCACGGATCTTGAGAGTTGGAGGGGAGCCATCCAACCCATACATGACTCTTACTAAAATGTACCCTGCCTAAAGACCTCCAATGAGCAGTAATCCATCCAGTCTTGAGGTGGCTAACCAGGTGTTAGGAAATTTTATCTTGACATCAGCACTTGTCTCTGCCACTTGCCCTCCTTGTTCCTAGTTCTGCTCTCTAGGACCAAACAGGACAAGTCTTCCAGAAAATCACCCTTTAAATACCCGAAGATCACCATCACACCTTTCCTGTCGATTGCTCTCCAGGTTTCAAACATTCCCAGTTCCTTCAACTGCTCTCCCATGACACAAACGAAGAACATGGCATGTGAGTTGGGTGGTCCATCTATTAGCAAACACCTGCCAAGCAGCTTTCCACAGAATGCTCTTCCAACTAAACACTGAGTTCCCCAGACTTGGTACTCCAACTGCTGCCTCCATGCTTTGGCAACCTCTGTCCACTTCCTCTCTCCATGTCCTTCTTACCTCCTCTTCTCAGAGTGCCTTAGAGCTACTTTCCATTTTCAATTTCTGGACCGTCATCTATGAAAAGTCTTTTCTAATACCCTTACTCTTCCTTTCCCTTCTTTTTCAAGTTATCTCATATTCATTCATCTCATTTCTCTCATTTCATCCTCACAACAACCCTGTGAGGTATAGGTGCTATTATTATCCCCAATTTACAGATGAGGAAACTGAGGCAGACAGAGGCTAAGATGACTCGCCGAGGGTCACACAGCTAATAAGAGTTTGAGGTCCAATTTGAATTTAGGTCTTCCTGATTCCAGGCCTGGTATTCTATCCACTGCACCACCTAGCTTCCCCATCATTTAATTATTTTAGTGGTTCCCTCCACCACAACAAGAAAACTAAGGTATTGGTATTAGGGAAGAGAAAAGCGTTGGCACATAACACCACCTTGAATAATAAAGAGCTGATAGTGTCAATAACCCCAAACCACATCATGTTTAGTCACTTCCATAGAGCAGGCTTTTATTTTGGGAGGAGAATCATAAGAGTACCCATGGACCAGAAACTCTTGAGCAACAGTGAGTTACTCACACATTGAGATTTATAATCACAGATCCAGCTCTAAAAGGGACCTTAGGGAACATCTACTCCATCCTTTCTCCCATTTTACAATGAGGAAATTGAGGCTCTGGAAATAGATAATTTGCCTACTATATGACACCAGATATGGTTCCAAATATCCTGATGTTTTCCGTGGTGTAGACTAGGGGCTCTTAACCTAAACTTGAGGGGGGGGAAATACACATACCCATATACATGTATATTTGTGTACATATATGTATATACACATATGTGCATGTGTATATACCTATATGCATGCATGTACATATGCATGTGTGTATACATGTGTGTGTGTGTATTTTCCCCCCAGGCACATGCTGGAGCCAGCTAATACAAACCCAGAAGTCCCAGTTGTTAAATTGTGGGCGTGAACATTCTCACCTCAGAAATCACCAAATACTACAAATCAGGGTTTGATTCATTATACTGTTATTGTCTAGGTAAGAAAGTGATGGCAAAGATGTGAATCATGCAGATTAAACTCTGTCATATGTACATCCACCTGCCCAGAGCTGCTTGTTAAACATTTACCAGCAAACTGCTATCTCTATTTCAGTATAATTGGTTTTCTTGGTCATCCTATTACTTTATTTTATGCATTAAAAACATGATTGTGGAAAAGGCTCCCTAGGCTCCCCAGGATGCCCAGGGGGTCCATGATACGAAAAAGGTGAAGAATGCCTGGTATAGACCAGATATCTAGTTGGCTGGCTCTTGATCTCATTTTAGGGTTATGTTCCCACAAATACTGATTTACCAGGAAGTCACCAAGAAGTGCTGTAAGGTAACTTCAGGTCAAGAGCAAACAAAGGACCATCTTTTATGACGGTACCATGAAAAGGCCAATAAAAACTTTCACTTCTGCTAAAAGGAATAAAAGTGAAGCAGATTTTGTCCGTTTGTGTAATTGAAGGAAGAGGATCGGGCTAGGAAAGCATTTCTCCTCACCAGTCTCAGAAAGATCACCAAAGGGAGAAGGGAGTCTGTCTACATGGCAAGGAATAGATAGGAAGAAAATAGCATTTTAACCATAGGTGTGCTGGTTGTCAGGGATTACACTTTATCAACTCCCTCACCTCTCCTCCAGTGAACACTACAGCCGCCCACTTGCCATTTCCTGTATAATGGCAGACGCCATCTCCTGCCACAGGGCATTTGCCCAGGTTGAATACTCATGACTGAAATAAAATCCCTCCACCCTGTTGCCTCTTGGAGCCCTGCTGTAGGTGAGGATGTCAGGAGGCTTTGGCATTCTTCCCCTCATGTCTCATCAGGGTGGGGGGTGGTGAGCCAGAATCCTCAGCATCTAGGCTAGTGGTCTACCAAGCTAATAATAATAAAAAACCACAATGACAGTAACAATAACAATACTAAAAATGGCACTTAGCATCTATGAGCTTCTTTAATGTTCTCAAAGCACTTTACAAATATTATTTCATTTGGTATTCACAACTCTCAATTAGAATGACTTGGTTGTACGTATCTTTTAAGAATAATAATGATAATGATAATAGCTAACATTTATTTAGCACCTACTATGTGTCAGGCACTGTGTGCAGCGTTTCACAAATATTATTCCATTTGGTGTTCACAACTCTAGATTAGAATGGATTGGTTGTAACTATCTTTTAACAATAATAGTCAACATTTATGTAGCACCTACTATGTGTCAGGCACTGTGTGCAGTGCTTTACAAATATTATTTCATTTGGTGTTCACAACTCTAGATTAGAATGAATTGGTTGTAACTATCTTTTAATAATAATAATAACAACAATAGTAAACATTTATATACCACAGTGCCAGGCACTGTGCTAAATGTTTAACAAATATCTCATTTGATCCTCACCACAACCCTGTGAGATATAGGTGCTATTATCATTCTCATTTTACAGACAAGAAAACTGAGGGCCTTTCTGACTTCAGGTCCAACACTTTATCCATTGAACTATCCAGCTGCATAGATATTTGCCATTATTAATTATCATTATTATTTTATTGTGGCTCCTATTCTTTTTGCTAATGGATGACTCTCTGTAGAAGTGAGAGAAGAGGGATATATTTAGAAATGAAGATAATATAAAAATGACAATATCTATATCTATCTATTTTTTAATTGATACACACACACACACACACACACACACACACACACACTCACACACACACACACAGGAAAAATAGCCTTCGATCTGTATCCCCTGAAGCCCCTGGTGGGGATGAGGTCTCTTACCAACCGCAGTTCCATATGAAAAGAACAGAAAGTAGAGGTTTGGAGCATAGGCGCTGATCATGAGGCCCCCTGCCACCATGAAGCCACTGAAGATCGCGACGGGTCTTGCACCAAAGGATTCAACACAGAGACTACAGATGGGGCCTAAAAGTAAAACGAAACAAAACAGTAAGCTCACCAGAAAGTTGACTCCCTGTTCCCAGCCTCAAAGAACATATAATTTAGTAAATAAAAAGTTCCGTATTCCTATGGGGTCTTAGGAAAAGGTTGTCAAGACTGTCTCTGTTTTTGGCACCTCCTGATTCCCACACAGAGCAACTCTTGCTCCCTGCAGGAGGTATACAGTAGGTGCTCACTAAATACTTCTTGGTTATTTTGGAGGAGCAAGTAACTTCACCTCTCAGCGCTCTGGGCTGACTATTAGCTCTGACTGATTAGCTGCAGAGAAGGTGCCAACCTGCATTGGTAGAGAGTTTCCTGTCACAATGAAATCATAGGAAAGAGGGAGCAGCTTCATTCTGCTTGGCCCTGGAGGGCCAAACAGGAGCTATGGGTCTAAGTTACAAAGAGGTAAATTGAGGGTTGATGTCAAAAAAATCTTCCTACCAGTTCCAAAGTGGGAGGTGCTGGGTCACCACGAGTGCTTATTTCTGGAGTTTAGACCACCCCTTCTCAGGCAGAGATGCTTTTGAGGAGACATCTATCCAGGAACAAGGTTGACCAATCACACGATTTTCAAGCTAAGGGACTTTAGGAATCATCTTGTTCAGCCCTCACATTTTATAGATGAGGAAACTGTGGCCCGCAGAGGCAAAGGGAGTGTAGGTCACAAGGGCATGGTTGGTCATAGGGCTGAGATTTGAACCCAGGCTCCCAATGGGATGGACTTTCCACTGAACACCTCTCCTTTTGATGTCCCCTGCCAATGCTGCGATTTTGAGATTTAAATGGAATCAAGAATGTGTATGTAGGTGACACTGATACGGACCATGTTCCGAGGAAGCATGGGACAGTGGAAAAGAGTAATTTTGATGGAGCCAGAGGTCCTGGCTTCAAACCCCAGCTCTGCTGCTGACCACCATGTTAGGCAAGGCATTCACCTCTCTGGCCTCAGTTTCTTCATCTACAAAATGAAGTGACTGGAGGTCCCTTCCAGCTCCATCTTTGGCATTATCTCCCACCTACAGGGGAACCAGAGGAGTTGTAATGGAAAAAATGGAGAGATTTTCTCCGGCCATCTCTAACTTAGAGGCAGGTAGGTGGTACAGTGGGTAGAGCTTGGGATTTGGCACCAGGATAGACCTGAGTTCAAATCCTGCCTCAGACATTTACTGGCTAAGTGATTCTGGGCAATTCACTTAACCTCTCTCTGCCTCAGTTTCCTTATCTGTAAAATGAGAAGATTAGATTTGACAGCTTTTCCATCTTTTCCAGCTCCAAGTCTAGGATTCTGTCATTCTAAAGCGTCTGTTACATCTATGACATCCAGACTTCTACTCGTGCTCCTAAAAGACAGGGGATGGGGGTGCATGGCCAACCTATGGATGAAAGGGACCCCCCAGCAGAGTCAACCTACAATCAGGTAGAATACTAATAATAATGATTATAACAATTACCTCACATTTATAGAGCATTTAAAGGTGTCCATGCATGGTCTCATTGTAAGTTAACCACAAGGATGGCTGGAAAGGTGATGAAAGACCCACCTAGCCAAAACCATCTCTGTTCATTTTCCCTGGCCTTCCCCATGCCTGGAGATGTCTCCTTCCTTCTCTCCTCCTTCAGGCTTCTCAGCCAAAACCCCACCTTCTCTGAGGGGCCTCTCCACATCTCCCCAAATGCCAGCATCTGCCCTCTGCTGATCATCCCCAATATATCCCGTCTATAGTTAGGTTGTACATAGCTGTCTACGTGTTGTCTTCCACCCACCCTCCAGCCATTAGACTTGGAGCTCCTTGAGAGTAGGGACTGGATTTTATTTTTTTTGAGCCTGCCTTCGTATCCCTAGTGCCTGGCACACAGTAAGTGCTTAATAAATGCTTATTGCCCATTTGTCTGCCATCGTTTCATTCATTATCTGGTAGTTGTATTATCCCCAGTATCTGGTACAGGCCTGGAACCATAGTAGGTGCTTGATAAATGTTTGTTAATTGACTGATGGTGAGACAGAGACAGAGACAGACAGAGAGGAGAGAGAGAGAGAGTAACAGACAGAAATACAGAAATAGAGATTGAGCATTTATTAAAGGAATGTTACTTCCACGAAAATAGCTAGAGATGGAGTCAAAGGGCACATACTAAGATTCACATCTCTCTAGATAATCTGCGGATCCTGGGAGTTCTAAGCCCCATTGGAGCCAATATGTAACCAAAGAGCAACCTGGCATTTTTATACAGTATTTCATATCTCAAGGATCTGTGATTTTATCCCACAAATATCCCTTCCACCAGGGCAGGATACACCCATGATGCTTTGGTCTAGGGGTCCTTAACCCTTTTCGTGTTCTGGATTTCTTTGGTAGGCTAGGGAAGCCTATGGCCCTTTCTCAGAATAATGTTTTTCAAAATCATAATTGAAGGAAATGTTAAATTTCAGTTAGAGGTTAGTAAAAATAAAGTTGTAATCTTTTTCCATCCAAGTCCACAGATCCCCTAAAATCTATTCACAGCCTCTCCTCCAAAATGGTGGTGGATCACAGACCAAGGTTAAGGGTCCCTGCCATAGTAGATGTTTTTTGTTATTTGATGCCATTGAAAAATTCATCATTCAGCAGATAAGCTTGAAATGAACCCCCTGCATTTAGATAGCCTCCATGAACAAACACAAAGTCATTCCTTGCCTGGCCCCTGTCTGAAGCCTTTCTATCTTGGCAAAACCTACCAGCGCTTGAGCATAGCATTTGAGGCCCTGGGACCCCTTCCCACCAAAATGAGGCATCAAAAGAGGACTTTTGTGTATCTCACATATTTCTGTGACATACACGAGATAAAAATTACTGCTGGATTGACATCAAAGCCAGCAACCCAATAAAGAGCAGAGCATTAAACAACCCTGCCAACGCAAATAGGAGCAAACATCCAGCAATGCTCCATTAAGACGTTCACTTTGTATTTGCACTTCTGACCTCATTGAGGCCTAATTTATCTGTAGACCCTCAAGTTTCTGTCATGATTTCAGGCCGGTGCTTATAAATCCAGTGGGTACAACCAGCATTTGTTCTCCATCATGGGCTAGGAGCCATTGGATCATTGAAATCACATTACTCAAATGATGGAAAATTTTGGAATTCTCAGGCTTAGAAAAGAAGTAGAAATCTGGCTCTAACAAATATAAAACTCATAAGGCTGTAAACCTCTCAATAAATACTGAGCATGAAAGCACACTTCCAAAGATAGCTTGTAAATACTTTATTATGTTTAGGATGCTATCTCCCTACCATTAAACCATAAACTCCTTGAGGACAGGGATTGAGTCTGCTTCTATTTTGCATCCCCAGCTCTTAGCACACAGCAAGGGCTGAATAAATGACATTTTTGTTCATTCATTCCTTTCCCTGAGGGAGCTGAAGGGGCCTTAGAGATCACAAAAACTCCTAGTCTCAAGACTGGAAGGGTCCTCGGGGCAGTCTAGTCTAACAAGAATCATCCCCCTAAAGCAACCATCCAGATTGCTTGAAGACTTCAAAATGCCCTAAAAGAACCTTTTTAATAGCTCTAATTGTCAAAGATTTTCCTGACATCCAGCCCAGACTTGCGGGACTGAAGCTTCTCCCCTCAATTCCTACTTCTGCCCTCGGGGACCAGATAAAACAGTTCTCCTCCCTCCTCCAAATGCTCAAAGCTGTTTGGTTAATCGTGATCTCTCCCTGCCCTTCCCCAAGATTTTTGTTCTCCAATATAAATACTTCATTCCTTACATGGATCCTCCCCTGGGTTGGCCTGGAGGTCCTTCACCATCTCGCTCTCCAGCTTCTCAAAGTCTTCTCTAAAATGGGTTAGGCACCCAGTTGGGAACATGGTACTCCAGATGGGATCTGAGACGAGTACAGTACAGTGGGATGGCCTCTCTCTAATGCCTTTCTAAATGCTAATTCATGCTCACGATGAGGGGAAGGAAATAGACACAGATTTAGAGCCAGAAGGGGCCTTAAAGATCATCCAATCATCTAATCTCTTCCTTTTCAGTTAGATTATGAAGAAATTACTATTCGATTCTATCATTTGTTAGACCATACATGTGACTCAGTGTGGCAGGCAATTCTAAGACTATAAGTTAAAGAGGAGTTGCCAATCTGTGCAGCAGATGGAGTTTCCACACCAGAAGTTCTCTAAACTAATTAAATCATAGGCCACCCACCCCAGGCCACCTCCAGCTGGATCTTTACCCAGAACCTTTCCAAGAAGCCCTCACACCTGTACTATTGAGACAGTGGTTCTCCCTCTCTCAAAGTCTCTCCCCACTGGAATCCATCTGCCGCCAAAGGGATGTTCCTAATGAGTAGGTCCAACTGTGTCACCCCCTTACACAATAACCCCGGTGGCTACCCATTGCCTCCAGGATCTGATGGAAAATCTTGTTTGGCTTCTAAAGCTCTTCAGCACCTGGCCCCACTCCTACTTTTCCAATCTTCTCATACTCTGATTCCCCTTCAAGTACTTTATAATTCAGATAGCCTTGCTATTCCTCAGACAGGAGAGCCCATCTCCTGACTCCATGTCTTGGCACTGGACACTTGCCCTCATGCATTGAATGCTCTCCCTTCTCACTTCTATTTCTTGAGTCTCTTTTCAAGACCCAGTTCAAATCCCACCATCTACAAGAGGCTTGTGTCACCCCCATGTAAGCTCCTTCTCTCTGAAGTTGCCTTCCTTTTGCCCTGCAAATACATCTTGTATGTACCTAGTTATTGAGATGTTGTCTCCCCATCAGAATGTGAGTCCTCCAAAAGCAGGGACTTGATTTTTGCCTTTCTATACCTCTCCAGCACTTAGCACATTGCTTGGCACAAAGTTAGTGCTTAATAAATGTTTGTTGGTTGATCGACTAATCAAAGGTCTAGATCAAAAAATAAAAAAGGGAGGGGACAAAAGGAAATTTTTTGAAAATTATGAAAATGTTAGAAAGAAGTGAAAAATAATCACCTAGAGAGAAGAACCTAGACAAATGCCAACAGATTTTTAACTCGCCACCCATGTTCATACTGTAACCTGCTACACTTGTTGAGGGAGAAAGCCCCAGAAGTGTAAATTGCTATTAGCAAAGTCTTTCCCAAGACCTGGATTCTGTAAAGACTGCCCATCTACAGTTCTGTGATTAGTTGGCAGACCACAACACATCGATGCTCTTTTGGGGTCTGCTGCGAGTTGAAAAAGAGCCTTCCTTCGATCATTCAGCTCTATGTCTATTTCTGGGAACCATTTACACTCTGCAAAACCACACAGGCTAAACAGTGCAACAGTGAGGAAAACAGCAATACACAGCCATGAGCACTGCAATGACAAGCTACAGAACATGACAAGCTCAGGCTTTTTGCAACCAAAGGCAGGTGAGAAACTTTCTCTTTCTCCTGGTGCAGATCAGAAAGCTGGGGTGGGTCAAAGGGGTTGGGTCTGAAAGGTAGGAAGAAGAAGCAGGTGGCTCTACTGGGTCTTTCACCCTGAAATAGTGGCCTCCAGACCTTAAATATCATCTCACCCAATCCCCTTATGTTACAGATGAGAGAGATGAGGTCCAGAGGATGGAAAAAACTTTCCCTAAGTCATCTTAGGAAAACAGCCTTAGAGCCTCCTCCAGTGCTTTTCCCATAAAACTGCAAGACCAGTCTGATAGACAGGCCAGGACTGGTGATGGCAATGTTAGGTCACAGTCCAAACTACTCTACAATCGTTCTGTTAATGAGTGATACAGACATAGCTTTAGGGCTGTGACTTTAGAGCTAGTTGGAGGTTCAAAGGAGGCAGGACTTTGAATGATGTTAGAACATCTCAGACTTGATGCCTAGGAGAACATTCAACAACTTGTAAACCAGGCAGACTTGGGGGTCATTTTTCAGACAAAAAATTAAAATCTTTTTTGGGTTTTCAAGAACTGCTTCTTTCCCAAAAGCATCTTGGTCGAGTAGCTAGAGTGTTAGATCCAGAGTAAGATCGGTCTCTGGATAGAAAGCCCACCTCAGACACTTCTTAGCTGTGTGACTAAAGGCAAGTTCCTCAGTTTTCTCAACTGTAAAATAGGGACAATAATATCTGAAGTTCCTGTTTCCTAAGGCTGCTGCAATGCTAAAATGAAATCATGGCCATAAAGGCACTATAAAAATGTTAGTTCCTATCATCAGGCAATTTCAGGAAACTGGAGAGACCTGAAAGAATGGATTTCTTAGGAGGAAGCATGAAGGATCAGTACATGCCTGTAGTATTTCAGGATAATCTTAGAAGCCAAGACTTAGTATGGCAAGAGTTGATTGTGAATTGTTAGGATTACCTTATAAAATTGATTATTAAAAAAATAAGACTCTGCAATCTTATTAGACCTACTAATCAAAAGAAAGCATATTAGACAATTGTGGAAATGCATTCAGGGGCAGAAGAAGGGGAGGGAGCAAGCCATATCACTCGACCTTCTCAATTTCACAGAGCCCCATGGAGGTGATATGACTTGCTTACATGGGTAGTAGATAGCAGAACTGGGAATTTGAACCTAGGACCTCTGACCTTCAATTTAGTGTCCTGTCTCCTTCACCAAGTTGTTGTTTTCTTCTAGGGAATGTGATTTGACTCACGGTGGTATGGCTAAATCCATGCCAAATGTAATCAGGTAGAATGAAAGCTTCTTGGGGTCAGGAGCTGCTTTGTTCTTGCCTCTGTATCCCTGATTCACATGGTGCCTGGCACAGTGTAATAACTGATTAATTAGTGTTTGGTGGATTGAACTGAATGTCCCGTGTCCAAACCACTGAACCATGGGGAAGTAGCCAGCTGTTCGGGCATCCCAGTATAAACGCTGAATGCATGGAATGACCCTGCGCTATGGGCCACACACATTGGATGGCGGCACAGGCCACACCACCTTCTACCTCCACTCCTTGCCCTATCCAGCACCTTACATGGTTTGAGCAAGGATGTTTCTACGAAATGGTCCTAGAATCAAAAGATCACAAATGTGGAGTGAGAACAGACCTTGGAGATTATCGTGTCCAATACCTTCCTTCTACAGAGGAGAGAACGGAAGCCCCCAAAAGGGAAGGTGACTTGCCCAAGATCATTCAGGTACAAAGTGGAAAAGTCAGGATTTGAATCCAGATCCTCAGAGGTCACTAATGCAGTTTAATATCAGATGCTTCAATTCCCTTTAGAAACACAAAGCATTTACTTGGAGCTACTTACTTAAAATCAAGCCAACTCCATTGGCAAGCGATCCGACCCAGGCTGTCTTTCCTTTTCCTTCATGGAAGATATCCAGCCACTCGAGGTATAAGACTCCAACTGCTATTGGGGACCCATAGCACAGAAACTGAGTAAAGAAGGAAGCGATGACAATCACCCAGCCCCATCCGCCATCTGGAGGCTTTTTTGATTCCATCATTAAGTGAAATCAGGAGGTGGTTCAGCGGCAGGTCCTAAGCAAAAGTGAAAACCCAAAAGAAAAGGACATTTAGAACTTGGTGTAGGTTGTGTCCACCATGTTAAGCTGCTGTCTCATTCATGCATTCATTCAACACCCAGCATGCAAAGACAAAATGAAAAAGAGCCTATGCCTGCCCTCAAGGAACTTACATTCTCCTGGAGGGAAACAAATAAACAAATATAATTTGGGCAGGAAGAGTGTATGCCAGTGCAAATTAAGCACATCCCATCTTTTATGCCTAATTAATAAAAAGAAGCACAAGGCATGAATGACAACATGGGCATCCATCTCTGGGCTCTCCAATCTAGGACGTGATATTTTGGGGAGCTAAACTTTACTGGTCTTCTTCTTCATGATCTCTTGATGCAATCAATCCCACATCCCCTGGCAACTTTAGGTAAGACTGGAACCCAAGACCTTTGACCACAAGACAAATGCATACACTACAAATTCCACCATACCAGGTGCAAACACTACAAATTCCACTATGCACTGGGGAGTGCAAAGACAAAAACCAAACAGTCCTGCCCTCAAGGAGCTTTCATTCTAAAGGAAGAGACAATATGGAGGCGGCATATCCGGGGATATAAAAAATACACAGAAAGCAAAGAGAACCTTGGAAAGGAAGGTACTAGAAGCTGGAAGGGAGGAAGGGGTAAGAAAGGCTTCATGAGGGGAAATTCATGGGATCATAGATCAGTGCTAGAAGGCTAACAGGGGATGAAATTTGCTTAAGGTCATAATAATTCATAAATGGCTGAACTGGGACCAGAAAGTCTTCTTTGTGTCTGAGATTTAATCAGCCACATCCTGTTAAAACAATTTGTCAGAAGCAACTAGGTGGCACAGCAGATAGAGCTCTGGCCTTGGTGTCAGGAGGACCCGAGTTCAAATCTTCCCTCAGACACATGACACTTACTAGCTGTGTGATCCTGGGCAAGGCACTTAACCCTGACTGCCTCACCAAAAAGCAAAAAAACACTCGCATACACACACACACAAAACAAACAATTTGTCATTTCTTTAGCTGGGGGCAGGCAATGTAATGACCCCTCAGGTTCACATGGCCCCTTCTCCAGTTCCCTAAAGTTTATGTTAAGTGAAAAGTTAAAAGTACCATCATAATGGCTCTGAGCCCCCAATTAGGAAAATTCCTAACATTTAGGCAGAAGTTTGACTTTCTGCCTTGACTTCAATTTATATTCATTGTTAGCTAATCCTTGTCTGGGTTGAGGTAAGGATTCAGGCTACCAGAAATTTTCAAGTAAAGAATCGAGCAAGGGCAGCTAGGTGGCGCAGTGGTTAGAGCACCAGTGCTGAAGTCAGGAGGACCCGAGTTCAAATTCGGCCTCAGACCAAACACTTGACACTTACTAGCTGTATCACCCTGGGCTTAACTCCAACTGCCTAAGCAAAAAAAAAAAAAGAAAGAAAGAATTGAGCAGAGTAAGTGATAGTATCTTACTGAGGCAGCTAGGTAGAGCAGTGGAGAGAGCACCAGGGCCTAGAGTCAGTAATACCTGAGTTCAACTCTGGCCTCAGACACATGTTAACTGTTTGACCTTGGTCAAGTCACTTAACCATTACCTCAGTTTCCTCAACTGTAAAATGGAGATTATAACAGCACCAACCTCCCATGGTTGTTATGAGGATCAAATGAGATAATAATTGTAAAGCACTTAGCACAGTGCCTGGCACATAGTAGGTGCTATATAAAAGTTAGCTATTATATTAATGGAGAGTCACAGGAAAAAGAAGTTACGGTAAGAACAGATCATTTTTTGGAACTTCCTGCCATACTTGAAGAAATGGATATGGCTGGTTCTTTCAGGCCAGGTCTTCTGCCCTGAGATGTCTGTAGGACCCATGGCAGCCCCGCCCTAGTTTTATTTCTCCTTTCGTCCGTTGCCTTCATATTGCTCATTCTTTTCAGCCCAATTCTCAAAGTCCTCACTCTTTTTCAGCCTCTCTCTAACTCTTCACCTCTCCAAATCTCTTCATCTCTTCAACTCTCTCTTCTGTGACCCTCTCCAGAGAGTCTTCAAACTCTAGCAGCAATGGAAAAACTCCCTCCAGGTCTGATCCCACAATAGCGTCTCTTCTCAAACTGGCAAGAAATAGAGTTTGTAGGGTCTTTAGCAACTTGTACCCCCCCCCAAACCTGGCAGAGGTCCAAGTCTTACCCAAATGACTGTTACAGTACAAACATAGCACAGTTAATAATTAATTGTGAAGATAATATTTCCAAAACCAGCATGGACCGGCATGGACTACCTCAGCAATGATGTATACTGTCACCCATCCATATCTTTTCATTTGCTTTTATATTTGTCTTCTGCAGAGGTCCTGCCATCCAAAATGGTAGGGGCCTTCCTTTAGGTTCAGACCCCCTCTGATGGCCTATCTTTTATCTCTCTCTCCCTCTCTGCATGACTGGCCACTTCTTTTGTCAATCATATATTTCCTTGATGGCCCTTCTGACATTTCTTGATCATTGAAATCATGTTACAACCTTTTCATGCCTGGCATGAGTATCTCCATTGCCCTGTGGGTCAACTGTAGCTTTGACATCTCAGAAATTGGAGCATTCCAGATTTACAGCCACATAGCCCTGACAGAAGACTTTTGTTATGAAAATGATGGAGCTTCATACTAGGAAACAGTTTGCTATGGTTCAAATTCTTGCCTGACTTCCCAAAAGCAATAGAGCCCACTTTATTCTTCCTCTCTAGTTTGAGGCCCAACTCCCTACCCATCTGCAGTGCCAGCCCCACATAGATGTGCTGATGAAAGTGCTCTGTGGGCCATCCATCAGACCACATGCTTTAGTCTGCAGAGTCATTTTTTACCCATTTAATCAAAACCCAGCCCTTTTTTTCATGTCACCATGTGGTCTCCATGAAAAGGAATCCCAGCTCTACAAGTCAGAATCACTGGCATGGGATTCAGTTTCTCTGAACTATCACTTGTGTTGTGAAAGAGGAGAGAAGAGAAATACAGGGGGGCAGGCTTAGGGTGAAGAGCAAAAAGGACTGCAGAGACTCCTCAAGTGGAAGGCTTCCAGCGTAAGGCCTGTGCTGAGTTTCAGTTCTGATTGGAATCGTGCCAATTGTCTGTTATTTTTTTCAACCCTTCACCCAGGCTGAGAAAACCTAGTGTACTGGCGTAGGATGTCAGAGTCCCACATTAAACAAGTTTTAATATACTCTTTTTAAAAAAATGAGAAAAGTCATTATTTTGGTCTCTCACCAACATAAATAACAGTGTGCCACCTCCTATCTTTAGATTTGAGGTCCATTTGTTTCCTTTCCAATTCATCCTCCAAGCAGATTCCAGAATAATCTTTATAAAACACAAATCTGACCACAGCACTCTGTCGGTCAAGAATCTTCACACGAGTGCTGTTGACTCTGGGATAAAATACACATACTTCAGGCTGGCATTAAAAGGCCTTCACGGTCTGGGTCCAGCTTACCTTTCCAGACTGACTGCCTATTAGTTACTGCCCTTTACACACTCTGCATTCTAGCCAAAGAGGACTCTCATTATGATTTGTATTTGGCATTCCATGTCCTACCTACAAGTCTTGGCAAAGGCTGACCTCAAAGTACTCCCTCTTGGCCTCCACCTCATAGAATCTGGAGCTTCCTCCAAAGCTCAGGGGGTCACTTGTCACCTCTTGTCACCAGCCCCCTCCATCCCAATTGTTAGTTCTCACTCACTTTTCAAATTATTACATATGTAACTACCTGTTTATAATGTACAACGCCATGTATATGCCCATTAAAGACTTTTGGACTGGAGAGCTTACATTTCTAGTCTTTTAATGAACTTTTCTCCCACCATCCTGGGAGGCAGAACTGTATGATTGTCCCCCTTTTACAGATGGGGAGACTGAGCCTCAGAGACACTGGATGACTTGTCCAGGGTCACAGAGCGAGTGACAGAGCCTGGACAGGTGTCCTGACTCCAAAACAAGTGTTCTCTATTCCTCTCCTCCACCAGGCAAAAGGAGAGCCTGGCCAGGCCAGGGGAGAGAGGGGGCCCTTCCAGGAATACTAGGCTGGCTCTCCTGTTACGCCCTTTCTTCTTCCCTAGTCCCAGGACTGACTCACCCACTTCCCTTTCCGCTGCCAGGAATTTAGAAGTTTTAAAAAAAACCAACCTCCTCTTTTTTTCTCACCTGGATCCAGTCAGGAAACTTTCCAGTCAGGACTACACCAAAGATCTGAAACAAGGTCTGTCTGCCTTTCAAAGGAATGAGACCTGGGGCCCCCAATCCCTTTATCAGCAGGGCAGGGATGAAGTGTCTGGGGGCAATGAACAGGTCGAAACTCTTCCCAGAGGTAGAAGAGAATGAAGAGATGAGTCAGACCCTGGAACACTGAGGGGCTAGGTCTGTCCTGGGGTCAGAGGACAGGCATATCGGCCTTGGGGGGGGTGAGTGATTCACCCCTTCTTTTCTCTCTGCCAGGCTGGCTACCTTAGACCCCACCTGAGATTATCCTAGCTGATTTGAAAAGTAGAGGCAGGGATGGGTAGAGGCAGGCAAGAGGGATAGTTCCAGGCAGGAGAAGGGGGTAGGAAGGACAATTTGTAACACTTACCAAAAGTCAACAAGCCCTGAGTTCAAATCTTGCCTCTGACACATATTGACTGTATGACCTGGCCAATTTGCAGAGAGGTTCATTTAGGCATGATGTGAGTAAAACTGAACTCAGCCTCAGACTCAGCCTCTTAAAATCCTCAGCTGAGGGCAAGCCTATCTCATTTTTGGCTTTGAATCTCCAACACATGGGATGTACTAGGTACTTAATGAATGTTTGTTGACTTGTAAAGTGAATGACCAAGAATAAATAACACATAGTTCAGTGACTGGAGTTTCTTCATGCAGAAATGCTTAATCCTCTGCCCTTCCTCCTCACCTCGGCCCCCAAGAATCCTTAGCTTATTCCGAGCCTTGGGTTCAATCCTCTATACCCAGGTTTCTCT